AATTGTACTCACTAGGAAGAGGATTTCCCGTAGCAAGAGGGAGGCCTCCAAATCTGAAGTCTGGTCACTAAGGGGATGATGCCCTGAGTCAAGACCTGAGGGGCCTGGCTGAAGAGCAGGATGTCATCGCCAGGGGACGGAAGCAGAGACGGGAGCTGCACCGGTGAAGCTGAGCTTGAGCTCACCTGCAGGCACCTTTTCCTAAAAATCAGTTTTCGTGGCATGATGCCGAATCTACTCATTAATAGAAATGGTCATTTCTTATTCTCATTTCTATTTTTTTGGAAATGGGTAAGAACTACAGCTGTCACAGAAATCAGCATAACAACTGAATGAGATAAATTTTGCTAAATTCAACTTTTTACTCCAAGATAATAAATTTGCATGCAGCCAAAAAAAAAAAAAAAACCCCAAACACCCAGGTTCTTAAAATCAGTAAAATGATATTATGCTGCATTGAAAAGACCTTTCCTGTGAAACAGAATACTAGGTAGTACTATCATTTATTTGAAAGTCATTTTGACAACACTGTGCATCTTTAAAGTAATTAGAGTTTTGGGTTAGAGATAACTGAGTATAGAAAACATTGCTTTGAGAGAGAAGCCAGTATGAGTGCTGTCTTAATCTCTTTGCAAAAAAGGAAAAGTCTTATCTCTTAATTATGCTACAATGACTCAAAATCTTAAGAGAAAAAGTTTTCAACTGTTACACTCATTCAGAATTTAAAAATCTCTCTCATAGGAGGAAATGTAAAAAGCAAGTTTCCAAAACCTTTTTGTACTTTAATATCCTTTTCAACTTCAAATGTAAAAATGTATTTGTCCTGATACAATGCTGTGAAATAAAGACCAATTCAGGAGTGTAATGAAGTCTAAAAGTAGCTCCTTTTTCTGCATCAAGAACAATTTTACTGATTTAAATTAGAAACTTCTAGTCGGGGGCAGGAGAAAGGGGAGGCAAAAGAGAGAAGCAGGCAGTCTGTGACCTAGTGCTGTCTTTTGCCTGCCCTCTAACAGAGGGAGAAGATTGAGGACTTCTGGGGCCAAAAGTAATACAGTGGAAAATGAATTTTTAAAATTCCCACACATCACTGAATTTATCTATTTTCTTCTAGACAAAGTTACAAAAGTAAGTTCTATTTTAAATGATTTTCACTCCTTTTCTATGTCTGAACTGAAAAAAAAAATTCAGTTTACAGCTTCAAAATATTTAAATGATTCCTAAATCACATCAGTGTTCTAGTTAAAAATTACCCTATCTGGGTATTTATCCAAGGGAAAAGAAGGCATTTTGTAATAGAGTAGTCGCCCCACCCCCACAGACATGGCGGCCTGAAATTGAGTGGGGAATATGTAACAGGCAATGGAAAGAAAAAAAAATGGCAAAAATGTTTTCTCTTTGAAACTTTCCCCACTCTCTTTGATAACTGAAACCTGCATCCCTGCCTCAGGCCAGTGGTAGGGAAGAGCAGGGAGTTCTTCTGTTCTTATCCCTGGTGGTGTCAGCCCTCTGGGTGGGTAGGTGGCAGAGTTCACAGGCTTTGTCTTTGGGAGAGATGGGACCATTAGAATAGTTAACCACAATAGCCTGGAACTGAGGAGCCCTCCCTTTAAAAGCTCTGTATTTCTGCCTATGATGGGGGAAAAACTGGATTTTGGGATGACAGTCTATCTTATTCCTCCTTTGCTGGCAAAGCAATAAATCTCTTTCCTTCTCTTCAACTACTTCTGATTCGGCCTCGTGGACAAGTGCCGAGCTTTTGGTACAATTTTATCAAAAAATACCTGCACTCAAAGGTTTATTGCAGCACAATTCACAATTGCAAAGATGTGAAATCAACCCAAGTGCGTATCAATTCATGAGTGGATTAATAAAATGTGGTATATGTACACCATGTAGTACTACTCAGCCGCAAAAAAATAATGAAGTAGTACCTTTTGCAACAATCTGGATGGATCTAGAGACCATTTTCCTAAGTATCACAAAAATGGAAAAACAAACACATGCACTCACTATTAAATTGCAACAAACCAGTGTGCACTCAAGTGCACAGAGTGAAGTAAAACTCAGTGGAAAGCAACCGGGGTGGGCAGGGGGAGGGGACTAAACCAATGTAATGGGTACTACGAACACTACGTGGGTGATGGGCACACCTATAGCCAGGGCTCAAACATTACAAAAACGATCCATGTAACCTAAAACATTTGTACCCCCTTAATATTTTTAAATAAAAAAATTACCCTATTCTTTGCTCCTTGCAAGTTTTATTGATAATGCCCCCTAAGAGAAAAGAAGGGGCTTCATAAAATTCCGCTCCTGGCAGAGGGACCATCTAACAGGCCCTGGTGGGATGCGCTGTCAGGAACGGTGCGCCCCCCGCAGTCCAGTCTTCCAGCCAGTCTGTTCTCACCCATTAGAGCACAAATTCTCAAGTAAGATCCCTGCACTGACAGCATCAGCACTGCCCGAAAACTGGCAAGAAATGCAGATTCTGGGGCCCCGCCTTTGGCCAACTGAATCAGAAACCTCTGTGGTGGGGCCCAGCAATCTATAGACATTCCAGGGGATTCTGTTGCCTGCTAATTTTGAGAACCACTGTGTTAGAACACCTCATTCCCCAAAGATGTCAGAATCAATGTGTCACTGTGTTAAGAAATTAATCACACGGGAATGAACACAGCTAAACTGCCTTTCCTCCACAGAGGCAGAATAAAGCTGATGTTTGTATATCAAGTAAAAACACAGAGCGACAATTTAGGAAATATTATGACACCAAATTGTTTGTGGTTTAATGTACAAAAAAAGGCTTTCAGCAACTCTGTAATTATCCCCCATATATAGCTTTAAGGAATTATTGCATCCCTTGAAGGAAAGGATAAAGTAATGTGACTCTACCATAAATATAAGAAAAGTTTGGATAATCCCAGCACCTCCCGCCACTAACGAAGAGACCAAGAAGTCTCCCAGATGCCACTGTTACAGTCCTCCCCGTCTTTTCAGGACCGCAATCTGACTCAAGCCACGTATGGCTATCTGACTATAAAATAAGGCCCAACATTTTCACAGTCAAGGTGGAAATGAAAATAACAATCAAGAAAAACACTTTCCACATTTTTCATGATCTTTTTTATTTAACATATATAGTACATGTAAACAACTGGCATAAAATTCATAAAAATACAATACTTCTATGCAATATCACTTTATTCCTGATACATCCTTTCATTTTCTCTTTAATATCACTGGCTTATTTTAACTCTATATTTTTTCTGTCAAGCATTTTTAGAGGCTTATCTTTTTATAGAAATACTGCCCAGTTTTTTGCTTTTTTAAAATGTCACAGCAATAGCTACTTCTATCACCTCCTTGTCCCTCCTTACTTTCCTCACACTAAAGCAAAAATATTTTTGAATGCTAAAAATATGTAAAATACTGAGCTTTAATACTGTTTTGTCATGTATATGGAACCTACTATTACTCTACGTGGCCATAAGTGATATTTATGCTCTACAGCACCGGCTGCTACTGTGGTCAAAGCAGAGTGTGCAGTGTACCCTCAAGGCCTCTGTTCTAAACTGACTCGCCTAAAATATAATCATAGCTTGCTGGTGGAGTTACATTAACAAATACTGTTACAAAACGATTCTTCTGCAAAAGGCTAATTCAGACTACTTTGAATGTTTCCCAGCGTATGAAACAGTTTTAACAGTATTTTAATGTTTTTCCTGTACAGACTTTCCAATCATTACATGAGAACTTACTTGAAAGGGAATTATTGGAGAGTGAGAAAAATAGAGAATAACTTTAAAAGTATGATTTAAAAAGACTATAACTGCTGGATGTACAGAATCAGTCAGACTTCAGAGAAGGCAGAGCACACCTCCCTCTTCCCGCCCACGTCCGCGTTCACGCTTCTCAGCCTCAAGTGCCCTCTTCCCACTTTTCTGGATTACTGCATCGCTGCTCAATTGTTACTCCTAATCCACAAATCCCCCGCTGCTTCCCTATTTTTTAAAACTGTCAAAAGCCTAAGAAATAAAACAGTCAACCGGCAAATGAGAAAGAGTGACCAGGAACCTGAAGAACACTGACAGACTCAATCTCCTGGGCCGCCTCCAGGGAGGCAGACTCCCTGGGAGACGCTGGCTCTGGGCTCCGGGGCAGGGTGGGGGATGACGCCCTCACCGAGGGCACAGTCTCAGCGGGATGTGCTTTCTGTGCAGCTGACTGATATAAGCAAGCTAGTGCTCCCCCAGACTTAGGCATGTCCTTTGGCTCCGCCGGTAAGAAGGCAGAAAGAAAACAGCTCTTCAGTGGCTCCCAGGAGTGGGCACCGGAAACCATCCCTGAGGACTCAGGGCTCAAGGACAATCCACAGTGAGGTTAATCTGCCCGTGGTTAATAAAGAGAACTCTGTATAATTAAATGTGTAGTTAGCCATAGCCACGGTTTGCTTAGTATTTAAAACCTTAAAACCATTTCTCAGAACTATGAGGATTCACCGTTTTGAAGAATCTCATCTCATGCAAATTAACCTCTGAAAAACAAAGATTCATATAAGAAATTCAAAGTAGGTTTGGAAATCTTTCAAAATAAAAATAAATAGGAAGGAAAAAGTAAAGAGGAAGACTGAATATACTCATTCCCCGTACAGAAATGATAGTTTTTAGAACCAAAATTATAACATAAGGCTTAAGGCTTTGTCTTATTAAAGACAGGCAATCTTAAAAATAAAATATAAAAGCTCCATCTGTTTATCACTATTCATTTACTTTTTTGACAGAAAAATTAGTCATGGTTTATTGTATCTTAATAGTAAAAGGAAAATTACCATATACTACAGTCTACTGTTCCACTATAAATTATGTTTGCTCAAATGTACATTAGTTTCTAGATGCATTATATTTGAGCTTGTTCAAAATAGTTTTCTTCAAACTACAGTTAAACATGAAAAATTTTTAAAGTACTTTAAAGGTATTAAAATATAAGCATTTGAATAATGCTAAAAATGAGAAAAATACACAGTTACCATTAAATTTTTTTTTAAACCAAGAATAAGTACTTGATAAGCAACTAAATGAGTAAACAGCACTTATCTGACAAACAATGCAAGGGAAGGAGAGAGGTGGGGGAAAGAAAGAAAGACGTCATAATGCCGCATGGTCGGACAGTAAAGGAATTTGGCCCTAACCACTGGGTCCAAGAGTTTGGATTAATAAAGGCCAGGAAAGTCTTCATTAACAAGAGTGACAGAGAACAAAAAGAACACAAGAAGTGAAATAAACAGATAATTCCACATAGCAAATACCCATGTCTGCCCCATCTACTATAACTCGAGTTGATGACAGAGGCTGACATAACTGAAGATTTCACAATAATCACTGAAATGTCCAAAAGACGAGAGCAAGAGGCAGAAAAAAAGAACCAAGGGGCATTAATAGTCTCTAAACTATAAAATCAGCCCCTACATAGTTCAGAACTGACCTATATTTTCATATCATCCTTGTCACGACCCATCATATTTTTTCATACAGGTAGCTTTGCCCACTTTAGCACAAATATTCAAGTCAAGTACAAGCATACACTCATTTGCATAGCAAATCTTAAGGGGGTGCACTGAAACAGTAACCAAATGATAAAAGTATAAGTCATTTTTACAATTAGAATAACATTCAAATTGACCAAATAAAACATCTGCTATTTGAAAACAGTTCCCACAAAAGTTTTGGGGATTTGAATTAAAAACAACACATGACTTATTAGCAAAACATTAAAACAATTACTGATGTAGTTCTCCGTAGGCAGCAGTGCATGTAGCAGTCATTCTTTCACAACTTCTAGGACTTTGTAAACACTGTTCTGGAATACAGTAGTGAAGTGAGGCTTGGACTCCTTCACCAGGAGGTTACATAAGGGAGTTTTCCCAGCATTAGCAGGATCTTCCACATCCCAAATTTCAGGCATACTGCAACCAGGCCTAGAAAAATTAAAGTACACATTAAAAATCAACGCATATTACATAATGGCAGATAGAACACTTTTATCTTCCTGACCTCATTTCTTTTTTTCTGTGTAAACCGACTTAATTTAACAAAACAACCCTATCATGGTTGTTTATGTCATAGTAAGCTGCCCTGACCCACTGAAGGGCAAAGTGAATGCAGCAAAGGTGACTACAAACACAGAAACAGACCTGCAGAATACACGCACTCAGGTGTTGGGGCTAAGAGAGACCTCGGTTAAATTCCGCCTTAGCTACTTACCAGGAATGCAGTGTTGGGCAGTTAGCTTCACTCAGTCTCAGTTTTCACATTTGTGAAATGGGGAAATACACACCCACCGCATAAGTTTGTTGTGAGGATTAAGAGAGAGCAAGTATCTACACCATGCCCACCACACAGAAAAAGGAATAACACTGACTTTTAAAATTATAGCTAGCAAATATGCTTAGTTCACAGGAAAGCTGCATTAATTGTATACATGCTCTGACTTACAATGGGGCTACATCTCAATAAAGCCATAATAAATTCAAAATATTGTAAGTTGAAAATGCATCTAATATGCCTCAATTACTGAACACAGCTTAGCCTAGCTTACCTTAAATATGCTAGGAACATTTGTATTGGCCTACAGTTAGGCAAAATCATCTAATACAAAGCCTATTATATAACAAAATGTTGAATATCTATCTTATGTGATTTACTGACTACTACACAGAAAGAGAAAAACAGAATGGCACTGAAGTACGATTACTACTGAATACATATCCCTTTCACATCACCGTAAAGTCGAAAAATCATTAAGTTGAAACATTATAAGTTGCACTGTCAGCATTCTAGAATAAGTCAATTAAAAGAAAATCTGGAGAAAAAATGGTGGAGTTAAGGTAACCTCCCGGATTCCTGCTTCCAGAGAAAGAGGCGTAGATCTCGGTCTGATACACATGATCGGATCGCTCTCCTGCAAAAACAGCGAGGTGAATCGGTGGAGATTCAGCGTGGGACACACAAGTCAGGAAAAAGAATAAGGTGAACGGGAGATAGGAACGCAAAACCTGGAGAGTGTGGGACAGACAACAGAGTGGAGCGTGGGACGGCTGCGCCCGCCTGGCCAGTAAGGGGACCGGGGTAAGACCCTGACGAGACAGTCTAGCTTCCCCACTGGCTCACAAGCCCACCGAGAGTCAGGGGCCTGTGTGAAGTGGATGTAGAATTGTGGCAGGAAACGTGGGGCTCCGCGGAGAGGAGACACGAGCAGGAAGCATCTTGAACTCCCCAGAGCTCCGTGTCAGGACTGCACCGGACAGGGAAGGAGCTGGCCTGGGCTACCTCCGGAGGCAGTTAGGACTCAGGAAGCTGGTCTCTGGCACCCAGCGGGTGCTGAACGGGGAGGTGATTACTGAGTAGAGGACTCTAACCTGGAAACTGCCGCTGGCGATTAGGACTGTTGAGGGCGGGCCAGTAAGAGTGAGATTGGGGGAGGGAGACTTGAAGGAGACGGCGGGGCGCCCTGATGACTCGGCTCCCTGATCTGGTGCCTGCCAGCCCTGAGCGGCTGCCTTCAGTGCTAGCGCCCTGTGGGTGGGTGAACGCCATCTTGGAGGCCCACAACACTGTGGCTGCGGTGTGGTGTGGGGCGGCTCCCTTCCCTCAGCCCGGGAACTCTCGCGACGGGCTCCGCCCTTGCAGGACCTAAAGTCAACTAGCCAGGCCTGTTTCTTTGAGGGGTAAAGTTTGAGTGCTTCCTCAGTTGTGAGAGGCAGACGACTGCGGGACCTGAAGGCACTGGGGCGCTGGGCAATCTGGGGCGGCGTCCCCTCCCCCTGGCCAGTGTCTTTCGTGTGGAGAGAGGTGGGCTCCACCTCTGGGCTTGCAGCAGCGAGACATAAAGAGCCACTCCCCCTCTGCAACAAGCACCAGTCCCTGGGGCTCTGGCATTGACCAATAGCTGACAGCCTAGTGACTTTCCTCGACAGACCGGTTTAGGTCATCCAGTACGATTGCATTTCCGCCTCCGGTCAACCACCAACAATGAGACCCATGGTTAGGGAACCAGAATCCTGGCAGGAAACCAAAACAAGTTCCCCAAATAACCCCTTCCATCAGGAACAGCCCTCCAGCTGTGGTAGAACCCTGAACAACATACTAGCGGCTCCCTCTAGCGGCAGATCAGGGCTTGTTACTTTCAAATGGAAAACTGAAAGAAGAAAAGTAACAACTGATCCAGATGGGAAGGACCCAGCGAAAGACTTCTGGAAGTATGAAAAATCAAATGGAAAGCACACCCCCAAAGAGGAACACCAGCTCTCTAGCAATGAACACTAACCAAGTCCAGAATACTAAAATGACAGAAGAAGAATTCCAAACATGGATTGTAAGTAAGCCAATGATATGCAAGGAAAAATGGATAACCACCACAAGGAAACCACAAAAAAAAATCCAGGACTTGGAAGAAAAATTCACTAAAGAAATTGAAATATTAAAGAAAAATCAAACCGATCTCCTGGAAATAAAGGACTCATTCAGGGAACTACAAAACACTGTGGAAAGCCTCAAGAACAGGGTAGATCAAATGGAAGAAAGAATCTC